TACCTTTTTTTTGTCCGTCCGGGTTAAATTTAATCACTTGGTAGAGAGACTAAACGGTTCCCTTATAAAAATCTCTTTCAAAGTAAGCTTAAAAATAAGTTTAATACAAAATTAATGTTAATATAAGTAATTTTCATGATTGAAAGCCTTGAAATAATATATACAAAAATATTTGAGAAATTTTTACCTCTAATTCACCAATATATTAATTAACGCCGGAATCTTTGAAATTATATATAATTTGTATATATCGTCTAACATTTGTATTACCTTAGATCGTCTGCAATATCCTTTAATAATATTAATACAACATATACTTGTAAACGCGTAAAATCATCAACATCACTAACCAATAGAAATATGGAGGCCAGTGCGTATGAGTAACGCAACATCAGTTACCTGCCTCTAGTTATCTAGTGCACGAACAGTTCTGTTAAGGCTTATTTAAATTTATATATGCTTCATATATTATATATATATGTGTATGTATATATATATATATATATTTATAGGAATCATATACATAAGTCCCCTAGAGGTTTCTGCCGATCAAACGTTGATGCAGTACTCAGTACAGTGCAGTAAAATGCCGTTTATCTTGCAATTAAAGCATTCTTCATAGTCCAGCTATTTTGTACAAAGATAATTTTCATTGTAAACTAGTAAGGATATTTGCGAAATTTTACTTAAAGTTTTATTGCTCCGAAAAAGCAAAGAAAGTTTCGACAAAGTGAAAACCGAACTATTTTTTGTAGCTCTGAAAATGTTCAGTCATTGCTCTGTGAAGGACAATCTTTGTCTTCTTCACTTAGACAAATTTCTTGATACATAAGATAGGCTATCGTTTGGCATAGAACTGATCGCTATCTTGCACATAACGGTATTCTTCTAAAGTAATAAAAGTACTATAACTCTGCCATTATTGAAGACTAAAAATATTATATTTTTAATCTTATGACTTAGAGTGACATTTGATCGATTTCAGAAATTAAACAATTCGCGTGGCACCGCCCACTTTTAGTTGAAAACAATATCTCAACAAGTAGTAATACTACTTGAACAGAATTTTTTTGTCAAAATATTAGGAAGTTTTCAACTATCGATATCGCCAATTTCCTATCCAATTCAGCATCCGAAAGCACTCAAAAGTTGCAAAACTTGAAATTTCAATCGCATTTTCACCATCACGTTGTTGTAAAATGATCTACAAAGTGTAAGCTGACAAGCGTGTGGCACGAACTCCAAGTTATAATGACTTTTAAATTCTCAAATAACAACAGTGATTACGTGTATGAAGTTGCTTGTGTGTTTGTTCGTGCTCTTCACACACACACTTGCGCGCAATATTTGCATAGAAACATAAGCTAAAATTCATTACAAACACATGCATACCGTTACTAATACATATCTATTAGCACAAATCTGCGCATATGTTCATATACAATACATACATATGCCCCATTGCGTATGTGCAACATGCAAAGTTGCGTTGTCAGGCGCCAAAAGCCGCTTGGTAGCTGTGCACTTTCCCGTAACACTTACATGCCGACTTGAGCACCACACTTAATGTACTTCGTACTTGAACTAGTGGCGACAGGCGAATTCGATTATTCGCTTTTTCCTGCCAACATTCCTCACTTCATGCTCTTGTCTGTGGCAATTTGGAGTGTTGCTTCGCCGTTTGACGCATGAAAATTTCCAGGCAACAACTCACACACACACGCGTCGCACTGCAGATGGGTTACTTAAACATTTATGCGCTGAAATGTACAAAAGTTTGCACATGAAAGTGGAAGCATACCCAAATGGCTGACGTTACAACAAAAAAGATGTGAAAAAAGATATAAAAAAAAAGAGGAACAAATTTACTTGGCAAAGCGCCGCCATCACTTGCTGACTTTTGTGATTACATTTCAGTCAAATTTACTTTTGCCAAAGTCATTATGCTCTGCATGAGATTCACTCAGACTATACGCTGCTCTGTATTAATACCGTTATCGGCGCACTCTGATTGCTGATCTATTGGCGATAATTGATTGTGGTGAGAGTTATTTGCTCAACTGATGCTTGGCAAAAGTTTGACTATCGGAAATTTTTGACGTAAAAGCATTAGTTTAATGAAATTAGTGAATTTTTCATTTGAGTAAGGAATATGCTCAAGAAAATTTAACATGGCATTTGTGAAATTGTGAATTACTGGAGATGTTTTAAAATACCATAGAATTATTTTTGTAACGGTTTGAAAGAATACTATTTCGGGCAAATTTTTTTGATAAAATTTAAAGCAATAATTGTTCAACTAAACTAAAGTGCCACTTTGGAAACGAAGAAGTAAGGGCGAACTGTAAATTGAATATTTTCACCTTGACCAATTCAAAATCTATACAAGATTGTTTGAAAGTAGAACGAGGACTTATACTGATTGAAGAGAAAAGTTAGTTGAATCGGTATGTATTATTAGTTAAAAATTGACGCGCAACAACGCGCTAATACTTGTAAAATATATTTTCGCCTAGTACTACTTGTATATGCTCTACTTACCAACGCGAAATTTGACTTTCAGAAGCGGCTGAAACCCTTAAAGTAATTGTCAATGTAATAAGAAGAGTAAGCCTTCCATTACGAAATGTATTTCGAATTTATAGACTATTTTTACCATATGATCAAATTTGACCAGGACTGGTGCATTTAAACTTCGTATGCAAACCGAATCCATACAGGAATTTTCTCCTAGATTCATGCAATATTTTTTTATGTTTGTGTGAAGCTTGATATCCATAAGTCAACTTTTGTGTGTTTGGCGATTTTTACAATGAAAAAAACATCGAATAACGAGTTTGCTTGAAATTTTGTGTTTCCAACAAAGTCACGGCTAAAGAATGGTTAAAAATGTTGCAGAAGTATTTTGGGGAGCCCACCTTATCACAAACGCAAGTAGTTGAGTGGCACGAAGCATTCAGCGAAGATCGTGAAGTCATCGAAAACTTGCCTCATGCGAGTCATGCTTTCATCCACCTCTGTTAATGGCGATAACAATAAAAAAGTAAGAGAAAAAATAATTGAAAACACGTTTTGATTCGTTTTTTGGATAGCAAGCGTATGAATTATATACTCTTACCAAAAGACCAGAAACTTTTGAAAAAACGATATCAAGTTGAGAGTTGCTTGACAACGTATGTGAAGACCTTTGGTAGCTGTGCATAAAATGCATCATTGCTAGTGACGAGACGTGGGTTTACTAATATGACGTCGAAACTGTTGAACACTCCAGCAAATGGCGCTCCTAAAATGAGCCAAAACCGGGAAGACCAAAATTCGCCGCTTATAAGGCATAAAGCAAGTGTTTGGTTAATTGAAATAAGCATTGGCATTTTGAAGGAGAGAATATATATTTGGCTTGTCAAAATAAATATTTTTGTTTTATTTTGTTTTTTAACAGTCCGAGTCAATTTTGATCAGATTGTATATTATTTATTATGTGATGTTGAAACTTTGTACTGGATAGAATCAAAGCTCTATATTATTCTACAGTGTGTTTTTCTAGCGAAGCATCGTTGAAAGGGTGTATATTTAAAAAAATTCTGAAATATATACAAATATACATATACTACAAGGCACATTTTCCCATATAGACATCGATCATATCAGATAGGAGGATAATTTTTAAGTCCTAACCAATTAGCTAGTTTGATTATTGAAATCTAACATATTTTTTTACAATTCTCACCACAACTCTATTTCTTCATTCGGCTGTGTGGTAAAAATTATACTCGTATATTGCTTAAAATTCGTCAATTTTTCCTGTATGCTTTATAAGGATTGTAAAGCTTTCAAACAGACATATGGATTACAAATAAAACAGTTATACGCTTTACTATTATATCTGCTTTGAGTTACAAATATGAGATTAAGGTATCAAGAGTATTTCAATCGGGTTATGGCTTATGTTCTGAGTGAATGGAGATATACTCGCTGCAGTTTTCATATTTTCCTGCTAAAAAAAATGAGTAATATATGCTCACAGCATAATTTACTCGCTGTTCGTGTGAAGAGAAATATTGCTAAGCTATTTCCAGAGATCATGCCGGATTTAATATAACTACGTGCTAACACGAATAAATTGCCTCAGCGATGGAAGGACAATAATCATAATCTACAGAATATGCATTTATTTTGCCTGAATCCCCACTATTTCATATTCCATTTGCTAATAATAATAATTACACTGTTCCCACCTAAATTGGGGAAATTTAATCATCGAGAGACTAGTACAACCACTGAAATTGACAATTTCTGCGGAATATTATTTTTTAAAAAGCTGCCAATAACTTTCCAGTGAGCAGAAGAGAGAACTGATAAAAAAAAATGCTGTCACAAAATTTAATAAATTTTTGGTATTTACAAAATTGCTCACCAGTGACCTTCTTTTTTAGAATCTACAAACAGATTCATAAGGTAATACGAATATTATTATTCTGTGGTGAAAGACAAGAGTATAATGAGTATCGAGTTAAAAAAAAATTTTTTTTTGGCAATCCCAAGCATTTAATTAAGAATTAAAAAAGAAATTGTTTTAGAATTGAGATTTTTTTCGCGATTGGGTACTTCGTGTTTTACTATTTTAAACTAAAACTCGCGCAGAGCCCTTATCTTCAATACTCTAAAAAAAATAAAATTTTCAATTTTCAGTTTTCAATGCACCATCTTAAAAATCTAATTTTTAACAAAAAATGTTGAACTAAAAAAAAACGCATGTAAACTATTGTATATTGTCTGAGTAAATTTCATATCTAGGATTCTGTATAATATTCAAAACTTGGTCTAACCAATATTGCAAAATAGAATTTCGAGGTATAAGAGACACACAATTATCCTCCTTAAGAAATTTTTGGTATTTCATAACTTTTCACAAAAAAAGCCGTTACTTTGTAATATTAATGTGAGGTGAGCTTTTATACCATACGAGTATATATACTACATACAAGAAAGTAAGTACTTACTTTCAAGACTCTTAAAAAACATATCCGCTAAGTCATAAAGCGCGTCATCCCGTCATACGCGTCGTAAGTGCACACGCACGCTGGCACTTTATTGTATTGGTGTAGCACACGTTGCACTAGCAAATGCTATTAAAATCATTTACAAATTAACCGACACCTACAAAGGTGACGCACAGATACGCCTCAGCGCCATGCAAAGGGCGAGAACAACATGTCGTATGAGTGACGGGCACTTGGTATTTATACAACGAAACACTTGTGTTTGCCTTGATATTTTCATGTAAGCATAGGAGTAAGTAACGACCGATAATATTATATATACAAGTATACACAGATTACATTACATATATATATATATATATATACATATATATAGTTATACAGTGTGTCGAATAATCTGCTGCTCGCTCTCTCTGCTGTCACAGCCACATAGTTCGCCTGCTAATTGACAGCCCTGCATGGCCGACTATTTTGATTGCCTGCTGCTCGGTTTTGATAAGCGGCACGTGACGACTACCGTTATATGCTAGCAACACACATATTTTGTTATATTTCTGCAAATACGCTCGCACACAGTGACGGAAGCTTAGTTGCCACTCCAACTTCCGTCTAATCTATAATCGATTTATGCTCACTTCACTCACTCACACTCACTGGTTGGCAGCGTTCATTGCTAAATACAATACCGCAGTGGCCACTTTGGCCAGGCTTTTCATGTTTCGACTAGTTTTGGCGTTACTTCGCAGCACTTTTCATTTCGTTATGCCGCTAGACCGTTGAATGGGGAGGTTTCACTCTCACTTCATTTCAACCTGTGCTGCTTTGCAAATTTTGTGCCTTTATTCGTTGGCTATTCGTCGTTTGGCTAACGGTATATTACATTTGACATTTTGTAAATTTGTTGGTGTGTGCTTAATGGTTTTTGGTTTTACTCACTTCACTTCTGATTGCGCTCACTCACGGTTGCACTTTGAATATTTTGGTGTCATTTCGCTTGGCATTCGTCAATTGATTGATTTGCATATTTCATTTGAAGCGTGTACTGTACGGTTACACACATTTGAGGTTGGCCAAATTTTCAGTGTTGTTTTGTTATTTTTTTTTAAGAATATTTTTTCGATCTGTTTTATTTTATATAAAAATTATATGATAATACAATTTTTTTTTTATTTACGGTGTAGTGCAATTGATATAAATATATTGAATTATTATATTATATCGATGTATGAAATCTTTTCAAACACTATATCATATAAATATTGAAAAGCTCAGAAATATTAATTATTTTATTAAAATTTTTTCCTTAATTTTTTTTATATCTTATTTTTATTTTTTTAATTTCTTTTTAGTTTTTAATTTTATTTTTAATTATTATTATTTTGTGTTTTTTTTTTAATTTATTTTATTTTATTATTTTTTTTTTAGTATTTTTTCGCAATATTTATAATTTAACTTTTCTTATAAATTTAATTCACTTTCACTCGCTTTTTAAACCGTAAGCCTCCGTTTAGACTTACAATATATAAAATTACCGGCAGTTTTAATATAATAATTGTTTTTTATTAACCTTTATAATGATTTTTTAAATATGTTATACCTTTTTGGTTTTAAATTTTATAAAATTGAGCACTTTATATACATTTTTACACAACTCTCATGATTCACTATATAATTTTCCTTCATTAAAATTTTTTAACATTTTCTAAATATTTTTTCTTTTGCTTTTCGATTTCCGATTTGCCTTTTAAGGGTTCAATATTTAGAATTTTCAGTAATTGAGTGAAATTTTCTTTATTTGCACTACGGGTTCCGGGTACACTTTTACTATATTATTTTCAAAATGTATATTTTTTCAATTTTATTTAGAAATTTCGCACATTTTATTTTTAAGCGCTTCTAATGCATTGAAAATATGATTTGTTTTTATTTTTTTTTTTTTTAGTATTTTAGAACACTTTGTTGAGAGATATATAATATGTTTATTTAAAATATATATATTTTTTTATTAAACTTCACACTATAATAATTATTAATTGCTGCAGCTTATGAAAAATACTTAAAATTTTACCCTTTTTTAAAATATTCAATGCTATCATATTTTAAATAATTATTAATTTTGTTTTTAAATTATTTTTATTATTTTTGTTTTTTAATTTTTTTGTAAGAAATTTGTCAACATTTTCAATTTCTCATTTTTACATAAGTAACATAATTATTAAATTTTTTTAACTAACTTTATATGAGTAATCTTTTTTCTTTAGAATTTTTAAATTCCAGATAATTTCACTGCACTATTTTTTATTCATTATTTAATCTACTTATAAAATTAGATTTTCTACTATTTTCATATAATTCGAATTATTATTTATTTTTTATTTAATTATTGTTTTTAATATTTGTGTTAAATTAATTTCCATATTTAATAAAAATATTTATATATATTTGCTTTTAAACATTTTTAAGCTTTTATTTTTTTTTTTTTGTAAACGAGTACTTAGAATTTTCGACTTTTGACACTTTTTTAACACTTTTTTTTCAAATTATTTTAGTTTTTTTAAATATTATTTTTTCTTTAATTAATTTTTTATTATGTATATATTACACATTTGCATTCGTTGATAAGTCTGTAGCACTATTTATTTCTCAAACCATTTTAAATTATTTTATTTATTTCCTTTATTTATTTGGTTTTTTTCACACAACTCTACAATATTTTGTTTTAAAATTTCTAGTATCATTATTTTTTATGCAAACATTAAAATATTTTAATAGTTTTTTATTTCAAAATATTTGAAATTAGTTTAGCAATTGCGATTTTGCGTTTATTATTTGACAAATTCTGCATAATAACTGAAATATTTTCTGTCTCACTCTACGCGCACTCGATTGCATTTCAGTTTTAAATGCTTTTTACACTTGTAAGCATAATTTTTATATAATTTAAAATATATTTTTTTATTTTTACTTATTATTCCTTTAAGAATTTTATGATTTTTTGATTGATTGGCATTTCAGATTTATTTATTTTTTTCATTTACTTTTTGTAAATTATTCATTCTTTAGAATTTTGTTTCTCTAAATTTCTTTGGTTAAAACTATTTAAATATATGAACAATGAATTAAATCTTTCTAAACTGTTTTTTATGACTTATTTTTTATTTTTTTTGTTTTTGGTTTTTAAGCTGCATTTTGAATAAAAATATATTTAAATATTATTGCAACTTTAAAAGATAATGAAGAGTTTTTAGCATTCACAATTAATCAATTATTATCGTAATTTTTTCTTATTGCACTAACCCAAAAAATTTTTAATCACTCTTCCTTGTTATTTTTTTGCATTTTTATTATACAAAAATATTTGTAAAAAACAATAATAAATAAAAAATTTTAAACTAATTAAAAAAAATTAAAACATCAATACAAATACATACATATTAAATTAAAACAACATTATTTAAAAATAACAGAAATAATACTATTAGTAGTAATTCATAACGAACTACACATGTAGAAGAGAAATATGCTTAGATGTGTCGAAAGCATGAATTCAATAAAGAGAGAGAGAGAGAGAAGACTAAGTTTTTATTAAATTATTAGTTAACTGAATTCTAAATTATGATATTCTGGAAATTTTCGTAATAGTCGTGGTGAACTACGTGAATTTGTTAATACATTGCTGTAGGCGCCGAAGATTTCTCTAATACCACTTAATTCGGTTATTCTTCTCCCGACATTTGCGATAAGATTTTTTATGGTTTTCTTAAACCAATTTAGTTTGATACTCATTTGTAATATAGCATTTGTTTTCTCAATTAAAAAAGTAAAAAGGTGGCAACTCTTTTAAAAAGTATTTTCAGTTTTAAAACTTCTCTAATCTCTCAGATTTGTCAACTTATAATCCTTTACGTTATCAATTAAAAGAAAGTTATTTTAACAAGTAAGGAAGGGCTAAGTTCGGATGTAACCGAACATTTTATACTCTCGCAAAGTCAAATGGTATACTCGTTTGAGATTTCTTTGTGGATTGACTGATATTTTCGGTAGAAGGTCAACTATAGGCACTGGGGTCCACATATTTAGTACTTAGGGGCTTAAAAAGTTTTGGTTCGATTTAAACAATTTGGGCTTTAAACGTATTATTCACGCAAAGTTTTACCCCAATATAATCATTGTTGCCTGATATGCAAAGCGGAAAGGAAAAGAATCAGATCGATTTCGCCCATTTTCGCACTATAATATAGAAATATGAAAAGAACGTTATGCACCGAATTTGATTGAAATCGGTTAAGCAGATCCCAAGATATGGGTTTTCACCTAAAAGTGGCCGGTGCCACGCCCACTGACCAATTTTGAACGCGGTTCTTATAAAGTCATCTCATATCATCCCAGAAATAAAATTTAATGTCTCTGGCGTGTTTAGTGCTTGGTTTATCGCGCTTTTAGTAGTTTTTAACAGTACCGTTACCGTCCGTCCGTCCGTCCATGCAAGCTCTAACTTGAGTAAAAATTGAGATATCATTATGAAACTTGGTAGACATGCTTCTTGGTACCGTGAGACGGTTGGTACCGTGAGACGTAATAGGACCACTGCCATGCCCACAAAACGCCATTAATCAAAAACAAATAAATTGCCATAACTAAGCTCCTCAATAAGATACAAGACTGTTATTTGGTACACAGGATCACATTAGGGAGGGGCATCTGCAATTAAATTTTTTTTAAGTGGGCGTGGTCCCGCCCCTGATAAGTTTAATGTGCATATCTCCTAAACCGCTAAAGCTATAATAACAAAATTCACTGGAAGCAAAATGTTTTTAGAACCTCTACCTACAGTGTGAAAATAGTTGAAATCGGGTGGCAACTCCGCCCACTCCCCATATAACGGTACTGTTAAAAACTACTAAAAGCGCGATAAATCAAGCACTAAACACGCCAAAGACATTAAATCTTATCTTTGGGATGGTAAGAGATGACTTTATAGGAACCGCGTTCAAAATTAGACAGTGGGCGTGGCACAACCCACTTTTAAGTGAAAACCCATATCTTGAGATCTGCTTAACTGATTTCAAAAAAATTCGATGCATAACGTTATTTTTATATTTCTATCTTATAGTGCGAAAATGGGCAAAATCGGACTACAACCACGCTTATTTCCCATATAACACCATTTTAAATTTCATCTGATTCTTTCACTTTCCACTATGCATATCAAGCAACAATGAATATAGCGGGGTAGAACTTTTTTTGAATAATACGTTTAATGTATGCCACCTTGTGACCAAAAATTGTCTAAATCTAGTGCCTATAGTTGACCTTCTACCGAAAATAGCAGTCAATCCACAAAGAAATCTCAAACGCGTATACT